ATGCAGTAAAGCTTACTTTACTGCAGAAAACCTTTCTTGCCCGTGACCCCCTCAACACATATACACAGAGAGAGATAATTATTCCTTTCACACCCAATATTTCCTAAAATTTCTTGATGCCTTATGTACATTAGCTATATTAAACGAGAAGGTTAGCCAGGTCCTTCAGGAACTCATCATTCTTGGAAATGTCTAGATGATTTACAAAATAATAACTGCCCAACTTGTATTACAAACAGTCTTGAACACTGGATGAGTTTAAAGCCTAAAGATTCAGGCTGTTATCCTAAATTCAGTGGAACACAAATTAGGTAAATTAACATACGATTGTTGTTTAATATACATAAATAAAATCAACTACCAGCCCAGTCCTAATAATTCCTGTCAAACTAATATTACATACAGCGAATAGTACTTATGTCTTCTGTATGGATTTCATTGGATCTGAGTTAGAATCCAGGGTCAAGCCTATGATCACCTAACTGATAGTGAATCCCACTGACCAAAGCTCGGTAGGAATTTCTGGGAAATGGTCTGTGGATTGCTATACTCTCGAGTTTAGCTTTGAATCTGCTTGCCTGAATACAAATGTTATATTTATTTCATCAAAAATTTCACATTTGCACTTTGAATGAGACTCTCGATGAAAAAAAGAAAAGATGCATGTGAAAGGCATACAATTTGAGATTCAGAGAGATGGGTGTTTAAGTGCACCCCCTATCAGGACGGTAGTTGGTTGTTATTATTACTAGTAATATCGTCATTAGAAACTGTTAATCCTGCCGTTACATAAAATTGTTGCCCAGATTTTTAATAAGTGGATGGTAGAAACTCCGAAGAAGTCTATGCCGTCCAGAGTCGCTTTGGATAGCGAGATGGGCGGCATATAAATTTAATAATAAATAAATAAAAATTTAAAAATACCATCCATGGGCTTAAAGAAATCAGCGTAAAACAATAGTGACTAAGGGAAGCCTTTTGATTTCAACATGTCTGCGCCTCACGCAGGCGCCCTTAGGCAGTTCGACGAGGTTCCCGACAAGCGCACGGAGCCTGGCCACCGAACCTTCCTAGTATCCGCTGATCGCTTCTATAAAAGGAAAATCCAGCGAAGCCAGCCGCCCACGAGTCCCTCCTGTTTTCTCTGAAGATCTTTCTTTAGGGACGCCCAGGCAGCCTTTGACTGACCAGATGAGGGCGAAGGAGAGGGAGGGAAGCCAAGGGGGGCGGGCGAGACGGGGAATTCGCCGAAGCGAAAGCGCAACCTCTGCTGTAAGTTGCGGACCTGGTCTGCGCGCCAGGCAGCAAGCAAACGCTGCATAACCACCTTCTCCATTTCTGCCCTGCTCCTGCCTTGGATTGCACGCCAAATCTCATTGGAGGAGTGGTGGAGAGGGAAGGGAGAGGGGGGGGGAAGGAAAGCTTCCATGTGGTGGAGCGCGCTGGGCTTTGCGCTTTTTCTTCCATAGAAGGATTCGCGCGCTTCCGCCGGCACCGTTGACTTTCCTAAGCTTGGGAAGGCAGGAATCTGTAGTTTGTAGAGGTGCTGACATATGCCACAAGGCGCTGCTGCTGTTGCTGCTACTACTGCTGCTGCTACACCTGTGGAAGGAAATGCCTCCCGGGCGAAGCAGCCCCGGCCGGCTTGGGTGGTCAAGGAAAGAACTGGCCCTAACTAGCTAAACACCGCCGACCTCAAAAGAGCAGCAGCGATTCAGAATCACAGCAGGCGCTCCGGCTTGGTTTCCGCTGGGGCCGGACACTGGCACTTTCAGGCCCAAAGGCAGAGCTGCGACAGGGGCCGGAGGGCATTCCTACCCGCAGGCTCCAAAGCGCTGTGGATTAAGGAAGGAATCCGCCCGGGACTAGAAGTCGCAGAGGTTTGTCCCTATGTGCCTGATTCAGAAACCCGCCTTGCTGCGAGGGGAGGCAATTACTGTATTCCTAAAGATTCTTTTTTTTCAATGTCTTTGAATCCACACCATTTGGTGTAGGTGATCATCCGGATCACCATCAGCGATACGAAAGAAGCCAAAAAAAGTGTTTTTCCCTCTCACACACTTGATTTGAGGACTTGAAATTTCAAAGAGATAGTGATCTGAATTTGAGAAATGTAGTATTTTATAGATAGTTTTATAAATAGCTTTATGGGTTCAGGATCGGTATCTATCAGTGAAGTGTCACCATTGATTTTGGGAAAATAATGCTAAGGTAATTTTTAGCCCTTCCATTAAAACATGTAATTTTTCAACCATGCTGTAAGTTTCATGCACTTCTCCTTGAGAGATTTATCTTTGGCAATTCAAGCGATTTTGTCACTATATCAAATATAAGAGAAAGTTAGGTGTCACTCTGCTCATTAGAATTTCTTCTGAATTTTGTTTCTTGATTTTAAAATGCTATCAGCCTAGGCTCTGTGAATATGATCTAAATACTGACTTTTTCAGGTCAGAAAAAACGCCTCACACTTCTCTTTAAAAAATCACAATGTTGTTATTGTTCCAGTATTAAGCATCCTAATTTGAAAATAAATCTCATTAGAAATATTTAATGTCTTTCTGAATAAAACTCTATTATTAGGTTATATCAATCTGACTTTTTTTTTCAGTGTACCAATAGCAACAAACTATTGAACATATCCGTTCTGAAGAGTGTAATCAATGTAGCATTTATTGCAACTACCCACCTATTACTGAACTGGTTTTACCAAAATCCAATAAGCATGCACACTATTAGAATTCTGCTGTTTATTATTTGATGTTAAATATTTCTAACTTTGAGTAAATCAAATTAAATTGATCTTATTGTGTTGGACCAATGAAAAGCCAGTGCCTTTGAATTCAATGAGACTTACTCCCAGGTTTAATGAATAGTTTGTAACAACGGTCCTTGCTCCTCGGCAGCATATACACACAAAAATAACATAGAAATGTATATATATAGCACACACAAAAGTAGATCCATAAATTACTATAAAAATGTGAATGTTCTTGTATATTATGATGTTTCAGTATTATTGAAATCAAACTTGGAAGGCGGACAAGTGAGCCTCCAATTAATTCGTATGCTTCTCAATATAAAGCCAGTAAATTTTCCCATTCAGTTATATAATTATGAAAAGAATGGTTAAGGGACTATGGTAGGCACACTAAAGGTAGAAATAAGTTCCACTGAATTCAAGAATTACTTTGGCATAGGCTTTAATAAGATTAAATTGTCAGGTTATCTTTCTTCAAAAATATAAGTGGTAAAATTTGCACAATAAATATTTACATTGTCTATTTTCTTCTAACACTAAAGGAAATCACTCAAAATTTCCCTATATTCCCTTTCCTAACGATGAGACTTTTTTATATTTAAGAATTGTACTGTCAGGCCAGAATGAACAAAGAAGCGCATTAGGAATCTGGAGGTCTCACACGAGGTTCCCTTTCCGACGTGCATTCCCTTTCCTGCAGCAGCCACATTGAGGCACATAGGCAGGCAGACCGGATGACGTATCTGTCCTTCGGCTGTCGGCAGTCTGGTGCGCGGTGGCTGTTCAGGTGAAGAACGTCAGGTTTACAGGTCGGGAGGAAATCACAGAAAAGCCCCGCCGGAGCAACTTGGAAACAACACCCAGCAGCTCCTTCACTGATCAGCTTTTCTCGATTTTGGAGTGGGATTTCCCAGAAGGGATCCAGCAGTTGAAAACTTGGGGCAGAAACCCAGTCCCAGGCGCGGAGAAAATGGGCGCTAGTTGTGGCCTGTAGCAATCGCCTTGCAAAAAAAAAACCACCTCACTCTGCCCCGCCTCCATTTTCCTGTTTCATTCCCCCTTGCCCTAATTGCCTATATGTTCACACCTGCAAGAGTGCCTTTGAAACCAACTATCTCAACAGCCTATTTTTCAAACAGCTTGTCTAGCGAAAGCAAACAGGACGAATGCCAGAGGGCTTTTCCTTTCTTTTAAAACTGGGGATGGATCTAAAGGTCGCAATGAGAGAGCTGCGTTCTATAACATGATATGCGTGGGAGTTAAGGGCTGCTTTGCTCCGAAGACAGATGCGGCCAGGTCGGCCAGTTCTACTGAGCGACCTGCCTGCATAAGAACGTTCAAAAGGAAAAGCACAACTGTCAGTTCCCGACGACCAGCTTGCAGATGGCCTTGTAACTTTCAATTCGGGGCGCAGCTCTGTTCGAGTGGCCCAGCCCTGCCTCCTTAGTAGCAAGTGAGAGTCAACAAGTTGCAGAGAAGCTCCTGCGTCCCCAAGGCTATTCCTCCCGGCTTCCCTGCGACGGAGCCGATTTCTGGCTTCCATCTCCAGCCCGCCTCCACCGCGCGCTCGAAGAAATCCCTACCCCTCAGGAGATCAGCTTGCAGCGGCAGGGAAAGATTTTCCTTTTATTCCTCCCACCCACACCCACACCCACACCCACACCCACCCCAGCCCCAATTTTCCGCCTAAGTTGCCCCCTGCATTAGCTGCATTTGCAAAGAGATGCCGCTTTTTCCCTGATTTGTGCGTGCGTGTGTGCGCGCGTTTGCCATTCCACCCTTCCACTTCCCTTCGCTCCAAGACCCCCACCCTTGGCTTACGCATATGATTTCCTGGTTGGGGTGTCCTTCTCGTGCAATGTGACTTTGCCATGAACTCGCCCGTGCCCAGATGGCTCCCAAGACTGGGGGGCGCGGTGGGGGGGAGAAGCATCCTGACGAAAGCGGAACTCGCCAGAGCCCATACAAATCAGAAAAGAGCTACTCCAGAAGAGCAGTGAGTAGATACCGGAGCCTGCGGATAAGAAAAGACGCTGCGCTGGCCGCCGCTTGAAACAGAGACGGGAAGGCGGAGGACGCCAAAACCCACCAGGCACAAGCGAATTTAAAACAAGCAGGCGGGATTGGCCGCTGGAGAAGATCTTTCTGCGAGATCCTGGGGCAGCCGCTGCCGAGGTTTGGCGCGGCGGACAGCTGCCCTCGTTAAGCCGCCGCCGGAGCCGTCACCTTCCGAGGGAAGCCGCGGCAGCAGGTGGTGGTGGGCCATGATGGCCACCAGCTTCCAGGAGCCCCCATCCGAGGACACGGTGGCCCTTCTGCACCGGGCCAAGGAGCCGGGCGGCGGCGAGGCGGCGGCCAAAGGCGAATTGAGCCCGGCTTCCAGCAAGGCGCCGTCGTCGATCGGAGCCGCGGTGGCGGCGGCGGAGAAGAGCGACCCGACGCAGAAGCCGCCCTATTCCTACGTGGCGCTGATCGCCATGGCCATCCGCGAGAGCGCCGAGAAGCGCCTGACTCTGTCGGGCATCTACCAGTACATCATTAGCAAGTTCCCCTTCTACGAGAAGAACAAGAAGGGCTGGCAGAACAGCATCCGCCACAACCTCAGCCTCAACGAGTGCTTCATCAAAGTGCCGCGAGAGGGCGGCGGCGAGCGCAAAGGCAACTACTGGACGCTCGACCCGGCCTGCGAGGACATGTTCGAGAAGGGCAACTACCGCCGCCGCCGCCGCATGAAGCGGCCCTTCCGCCCGCCCACAGGCCACTTCCAGCCGGGCAAGAGCCTTTTCGGGGCAGCGGCGGAGGCGGCCGGCTACGGTTACCTCACGGCGCCACCCGCCAAGTACCTGCAGGCGCCTTTCCTCAACGCCGCCGCGGCCGCCGCTTCCTGGTCCTTGGCGCAGCCCGCGCCGCCGCCTCCTCAGGCGCCCTCAGCCGCTTCCTACGGGGCCTGTCAAATGGCGGCCGTGGAGGGCGGCGGCGGCAGCCCGGGAGGCAACGGCGGCGGCAGTCCTGTCAGCGCAGTGAAGGGAATGGGACTTTCGGCCGGGCCCGGCGTGGCCACCGCCGGCGCTGCCTCAGCCTACGGCCCTTACTCGCGCCTTCCCGCCATGGTGAACTCGTACAACGGCATGGGCCACCACCATGCCCACCACCACCCGCACGCCCACCACCACCACCCGCACGCCCACCACCACCATCACCACCACCACCACGCGGCCCAGCAGCTGGGCGCGGCGGCGGTGGCGGCCGCGGCAGCCGCGGCGGCCGCCGCCTCAGCCGGCAGCCCTTCCCCGCAAGCGGCGCCCAACGGAGCCGCCGGCCTGCAGTTCGCCTGCGCACGCCAGCCGCCCGAGCTCGCCATGATGCACTGCTCGTACTGGGACCACGAGAGCAAACACAGCGCCCTGCACCCACGGATAGACCTCTGAGGGAGGCGGACGAGCCTGCATCGCCGGTGCGGGCATACCCGGCAGCCCACAACGAGCCCTTCCCAAGGCTCAGGCGCGGTGGTGTCTTCTGAAGAAAAGCTTGGACCGCCTTTCCTGACCGTTTTCGTATTCACCGATGCCCGGCGCGTGCAGTAACGTTCGGTGGGGAAAGGGAGCCCTCCTAACCCCTCCCCCCCCAAACTCTTGTGCATCTGCAGCTCTAGGGCTCCTCTCCGGGTGCAGGTGAAGGCAGCGCGACGTCCCACCTCCTCCTCCTCCTTGCTTCGAATAGCTCGGCTTTTGGATGTAAATCCTCCCTGTCACTAGTTTTTAGGGGGTTAGGCAATGCAGAGTTTTACTCAATCTCCCTAGTGCAAGCCCTAATAAAACTAAAGCTAAAGTCGCCCCCGGATTTTGTTAGTTGCTTTAGAAACACACTGGCGATACAGCGCGGATCACGACCTTAGAAGACGTCCTTTGCGTGGTTATCCCGAACTTACTTTGCAGAAGCAGGGAGAGTTGGTAGTAAGTAATGTTTTTAAGATCGAAACGTGGGTCTTAATTGCAGAGGCATTTGCTTTGCATTGTGAGCTTAAACGGGGTTAAAATCCAAATCAAAGAAAAACGGGGAAAAAATCATATGTTCACCGCTGCAGATGAGAGGGGTCGAATCAACAACTTTTATCTCCTGCTCAGAACAACCAAACTACCAAACTTTAAAGCCAAAGGCCACGTTTGTTTATTCAGAAAATATATATTAAATTGTATTTGAACTTCAATTAACTATAAAATAGGGTGGCGATGGCTGTAAATTCTATTGAAACGGGCTTCTTAGTTTAACATTTTGGAGTCGTTTATATCAGAAAGATTTCAATTTGGATTTAAGCAGGAATAACTTTGACGCAATTCACAATATTTGTAGATTGATGTTTTTAGAATTGCATCTAATGATTTACATGATCTCTCTGTTCTAAATATGTAAAGCACACCAAATTTATTAGGATTTATTTTCAAAAATTGTTTCCAAGAAGGGCAAAGATTTTCAACATATTTTTGTTAATATAAATTTCATGAAACTTAACACTTTCATTCCACTGTACTGTGGTTTACAGGCAGTTTCAAAAGTTTCCTGGCTGGGTACATGTTAATCTGGGCATTTGAGTATACTGTCTGTTTCAACAAGTTTAGCGATGTTTAAAGTTGAGAGGGAAAGAGGTTTGCATTAATGGGATTAATCTGATTACAATGGATAATTACTGAAAATAACTATTTGAAATCTAGAAGGTGGGATGTTAAAAATGCCTGTATTTTGAATAGATTGGCTAATACTAATACAAATAATGGAAAGCACTAGACTTTCACCGCCTTTTTTTTTTTTTTTTTTTGGCATAGACTTGTCCACTGCGACCCCAATGATGGAGGAGGGGGACAATGCACTTCTTCAAATCTTAATATCACTGTCCAAAATAGTACTTATTTGGGCACTGTATTGTACCAGAAAGACTCCTTCCTGGGCAACGTGTAGCCATGTTGATTTGAAAGGGGAAGGAATTTTAAGAACAAGTTTAAAACAATTGTATATGTATTTTTTTTACAAAAAGAAAATAGTATTTTCTCCAGATAAAGTAAATTTATACTGTATAAACTTTATACTAAAATTATTTGGCTAAAGCAAAGCTATTCTCTATTATTATGAATAGTGGTAATAACAGAGACTGTTTTTTGCAATGATGCTGTTTTATACACACATTTACACACACACACACACACACACACACACACATTCTAGCCTCCACATGGGTGTTGAGACTAATTTTTATCTTTTTTAAAACTGAAACTATTTTGCCTGTAAATCAATTTTCATGGGTGGTCCTCTGCTTTTCTCTTCTTTTATGAAACAAAGTTTCATTATTTGAGCCTGAAAAAGAAGATAAACAGAAAATGTATTAATAGGGAAAGGGGGGAGTCATAGCAGTTTGCTTAAATACTTTTGTAAGCAAGCTGTTTTGACATTGTGCCTTTCTGGGACCAACTTTTTTTAGAATAACTAGCACTTTTATTGTATATCCCTTTGTATAGTCTCCAATAAAATGTTATTTTTTCTCTTTTATGTTTGATTTTCTTTTCTTCCACTATTTATTAAATACTGCAAATCTTTACAAATGTCATTACTTTCTGTGATTAATTTGCTACAAAAACTGCTAACATATAGACTTGAGCAGAAAGTTTTAGGATTTTACTTACATTATTTTCCACTTTCATGGAATTTGGTAATTGTTCAAAACAAAAAGAAAGATACATAAACCTCAGTTATAATAGTATGGTACTAATAATAACTATAATCATCTGAAAATATTAAAATCACTGTCCCATCTAGCAATATTATTTATTTGTGGATTGATTGTGTTAAAGCCATCTTTAGATGGCTGGATCTAAAGCATCTGTGTTTACAATATTAGTAATAGGTAAATTCCTCTGAAATCAATCTTTTTGTTTCCATGTCATAATTATTAGTCCAAGAATACTTATGGTCCAGTTGTCTTAATTACATTTATGCAGAAATATCTCTTATTTGTGAAGCTTTTAGGATCCTTTGCTCACATTACAACAGCTCTTTTCTACCAGTATTTATGTGGAAGCACATCTCATTTAAAATAGTGGCAGGTTACCTGGGAGGATCTAAGTTCAGAGGAGTGTGATCTGGTTTGGTGACTGTTGAAAATGCTGTTAGTGTCAAGCTTGAAAAAATAATTATCATGTCTAAGTTGTTCTAAGCCATGCAAAAAAAAAAAAAAGCACTCCTTGTTGTGAAGATCTTCACTTGCAGAGTTAATCCAGATGGATTTTTCTTTAGTAGTGAACATATGTTGGAGAGACATACTAGTGGCACTTTTATTATAGCATTGTCTTTTTCTTTCTTTTCTTGTAATATACGTACAATTTCAACCTCTTTTACCTATATCACCAAAAGTGTAGGCGATTGTAGGCCAGAGATCTGTACAATATAAGTGTGAAAAATAGCTAATGATCACATTCTTTTTATTTCAGAGAGTAAGGCCATTTTTTTAAAAAAAATATTATGTAAGTATTGTACACTACACATATATAATATCAAATGACTGATAAGAATATTTGCAGCCCTACCCTAAAGAAGCATATTTATTTAGAAATAAATTCCAATGAGTTCAGTGGGACTTATTTACCAAGCTGCTACTTAATTTGGAGATAAACTATATGAGAATGGGACTGTTCCTCCCTAATTCTATGTAGGAAGAGCTATATTTTCAATTATTCCTGTTTGATGATGATAAAAAGTAGATGTTTGGGAGAGGGAGGCTAGAATTGTGCTCTAAGTCTACCACATTCTTTCCAACGGTGTTTTGCATGTGGTACCTTGCAGATTTTAGTCTTATGTTTCCATAAGAGGCAACTTATGCAAATGAAACTCTTGGACAGTGCTTTTTTGGCTATTTCTAATATTATCTTCTAACGGAGTGGCTGGGCTGCTTGCAACATTTTCACCTGTGTTCTAGCTGTGCTCGGTTAACTCTAAGACCTAATGTGGTTTACTTGACCTTTATTGTGTTTTATTAAAGCATAGATTATGATTTACAGTGTTATGGGAAGTCAACCTCACTTTCACACACACCCCCTCCCCTCCCCTCCCCGCGTTTTAGGAAGTCCAAGGAGCGAAGGCAATATAAGACTGACACTTAGCCAGCCTTCTATTTGCCAATGTGTAATTGTCCGAGGTCTTAATATATAGTTTCTATAATATCTACCTAACGTCTAATATAGTCTAAATGAGAGACTCCCAAGTACAGGAGGCACCGGCGGTTGCTTTTTACCGGACGGAAGTTATTAATCTAATCTGGAAAGGCTGTACACTTTCTGTCCCTTTCTCTCCCTCGGTTTAGTCAATGGGGAAAGCCGCAGGCAGCCTCTCCACTCACGCCAAAGGGGGACGCGGAGACAGCCGGACCAGGTCTTCCACCAAGTAAGGCCGGTGCCTTTGGCCAGGAAGGCACTTAATCCCCCCCCCCCCAAAACAAAAACCTCGGAGCTCGAAGAAAGGAACCATGGAAGTGGGCTGAATCTCTTCTGGTTAGTGCTGCGCTTTTCCGGAACGGCCTGTGGCGAGCGAGCGCTGGGGAAGAAGCCAGCCCGGCTGGCTCTTTGCAATAATCGTTCAGTAACCATTTGGTGGCGGTCTAAGTAGAGGGTCGGGGAAAGAGGGAGACGACGTAGCCCCGCACGTGGGACTCTTCCTCAAATCGGCCGTGGGAAGAGCGAGGCATCACTTCTGAAGGAGAGCCGGTTTTGTGGTGTGAAATGAAAAGGCGCGGCGCTGGCTCAGACCTTAAGACCTTCCACAGAAGCGACTCAAGGGGCAGGGAGGACCGACTCCAGCTTTTGGCACTGCGCGGGTCCCGATCCACCTACAAGGAGACTTTCGGGGCAGCGGGAAAAGGTGCCGAGGCAGTGCGCCTTCGTGGAGCTATCACGGAATAGGGTTGTGACCGAGGGACGGAGAATACATTTACCGCCCGCCGCCTGCTAGTCAGAGAGCGCTCCCGCGGCGTTAGGGAATCCGCCTTTCTCCGGGGTGAGTGTTCCGGGTCTCCGCGCTTGTCCTTCACCAGGCCAATTCTCTAGGAGTTGGAGAAGGAGCAGAAATCGTCACAGCTTCGCCTAGTACATCTTAATTCCCAGTGCAGTTTACATTTCCATAGGAAATATAATAGGTGGGAAGAGTCCGAGGCCCCCTCTCCTTCACCAATCCAGGGTTTAGGATTATGTTTCCTAAATCAAACTGAAGACAATTCTCGAAATCCCACGATTTTTTTTTTCTGTCCCGTAGTTGGGTATGTGACTTAAATAACAGAGAAGAGGGTACATATTTTCTGAAATTCCAGAACTTTCTTTTATACGAAGTTTGGCCATCCGCATTTGGGAGTGAGGCCCATTGAATTCAGTTCGGTACTTTGTAATTTACCAAACTGTGGAGCAACAGACATTACCTAACATTTGGAGTAATCAGTCCATCAGGCCCCAATAGGATGGTCTGGGAGCAGTGTGTAATAATATATACACCGCACCTTGCCTTGTATTAATTGAGATTACAAACTCGCGCGTTATTTGAATTCTGCTAAAGCGCCCAGACTAGAAACGCGCACGATTGGATCCAAAGCAAATAAAAATGCAAAGTAAGTGGATGGTGCAATCTATTTTGTTTCGGCTTCTATGCTCTTCTTAACAAACCAAGGGGCACACCAGGCAGGTGTTAAAGATATTGGGTAGCAGGATCCCAGGCATATACAGTATAAAAAGATGGCTATGTGCGTGGATGCGGTAAGTCGCGATAGTAAATCCTAAAATGGGCCATTGAACAATATCTTTTTACACACAAAATAAACTTTCAAGCTGTTTCAGTTGAAATGCTGTTCTCCTTTCTGCTCAGTTCCCCCTCCCCCCGTGAAAATCCTACAGACAGAAATCCTAAACCCATGTTTTAGGAAATAAATCCCGAGGAAAAACAACACGTGGTTCGAAAACCGGTTCGAAAATCAGTTCCCAAATGAACGTAGGTCGCTCAGAGCGTGTGCTCTGGAGCGGGTCTGGCAATGCCTTAGTGGTAACAAAGGCAACTTTTATCCCGGGTGGAAAACGCGCGGGAGACTCTTCTTCTCTCCAAAACTCCTTTTGCCAAGCCTTCAGGGAAGACCCTGAAATGGTGGGAATCCGAGGGATTAACAAATTATCTATGGAACTGATCTTGGAGGCGGAGGAGGGAATGAATGCCCAGGAAAAGTCAGCAGGAGCTTCTAAGGAGCACCTTCTCCCTATATTTTGGAAAACCAAGATACTTTGCCTTCTTATGACTTCGGGAACCGGATGCCTCTGTCTGAGTTGTACCATTTAATCTATTTTCTAATTGCCCAGTTCTTCCTTTGACTTTGCACCTTGTGTCTCTTCCCTTAAAGAGGTGCCAGTGACGTTGTTAGAGATTTGTGTTCAGATGGGTATTGAAAATGAACGAAGATTTCTACAGAAAATCGTTTTTAAAGTCATAGGACCCAGCAATCGAATCGAACCTAAGCGGGGCTAAAATCCAAGAAAATTAAATTCCATGATTAAATGGATCCAAGTTAAAACAGCTTATGTTATGTTCTTCCTTCCTTTAGAATAAGGCACTTCCAGCTTGTCCCTCTTTTAATGTATGCAATGTTTCAGGCAGATATTAGAAAAGTATCCTCATTTCTGTAAAATCCTATTAAATTCAAGAGATTTTTTCCAATTAAATGCATATAGTTTTCAATCTAAACTTACATTTTTATATAGCAACTCTGTGATAAAGTACACTTAATCTAATAATGGCTGGGGAGTGGATGGACAGGGAAAGGACATCCTTGAAAGGAATTTAGTCAGGTACTCAAATCTTATTCAAATGAACTTGGCAGGTCTGGAACCTAACTACTTTACAAATGAAAGAATAAGAGGGAGGAAGCTTAAACAGTTATTAAGATGGTAACATCTCCTCCATCTCCTTGTCTGCTTTTAAACACAGTATACATTGGAAAGAGCTTTCTCTATGAGTTTATGCTACACACACACACACACACACACACACACACACACACACACACACATTCTTCCAATGTATATATATTGTAAGACACAGCACCACATCCTTCCCTTACCTCGATTGAGTAACTCCAAATCATTTTCTACTCCTAGCTACCACAAAGATCCCCAACTTAGGATCTTCATATCAGATGGGTGTCAATTTTCCAAATTCCCAGGAAACATACTAGGAATTAGAGAAATGGACTTTCAATCTATTTTAGGATCTTAGGTTAGGGAAAATTCTGGCTACCAGTTGGACTGTGAAAAGGCTTCCTTTTGTTTAATTCAATATATTTATCCTCTCTATGTCTGGCTTATCACTGGTGAACACTCAGCCATGTAAACCAGGCATAATTACTAGTTCCAGACTTTATGTGCTTTCAATTTTCCTTCAGTATTAGAATAGAAATGAAAGAAGAAACTTTTCTAAACTAAAGTCATACCTATTTATGTTTAGCCCATGTAGATTACTCCTAAGTAAGTGTTAAATGGAACTGAAGATTTTTTTTTTTTTTTGAGGCGTAAATTGCATCCAGTTGGTGCGGGAGTCTTTTCTCCTGAATTTTATTTTTGAGGGTTGTAATTTAAATTTAAGGTTCAGGCAAAAGAAGTCAGAGCACTGCTTTGCCCTTCAGCCAGAAGGAGCCTTTCATCCAAAGGAAACTAGCAAACAGCCATTAATTGGGGACTCTCCCTAAAACTTGAATTGGACTCCCCTCAGGATCCATGCCTGGTTCCATTTCTTGCCTATAGTCTTATGTATTTAGGCCTTATTGAAATATGGGAGGAAATCTTTTTATAGATTTTCATAGGCACTGATATATTTAGAACGTGGCATGCATAGGATCAACCAGCTCAACTGTCTTTTTCTGTATTTAATCCCAGACCAGTTGGTCTTTCACAATTTGAAAAAAAGAAATTCCAGTGTGAACGACATTAAAAAGGTAGTGGAATGAATTCTGGTGGAACAGAAATCCTTCTTAAAAATGCTTTACAATTATGCTTTTCAGAAAAGATAGCTCAGATCAGTGGCATTTCTATCAGATGTTTTATTCAGAAGTTTTCCATTCAGTTTAAGTCTGCCCACAGGATGGCAGCCTGAATCAGTTTCAAATCCATTAATACATTTGTTTGTGGTGGTTTATGGCTCAAACTCTCAGCTGAACTAATAACAAAAATATGACATAAATGAATGCAACCACAGTTAAAAATACAACTGATTTCTTGGATGCCTTTGGATGATTTATAATGCAGTTTTGTACATACTTAAGTAGTATTACTAAACAGATAAAAGCATATGATTTTGACTTTCAAACCTTTGCATACTTACCTGTGGGTAGAACCCATTGAAAATTCTGAGCAGATTTAACAGATTTCCTCTGTTAATAAATGATGTTTTCCTAGGAGTTATTTTCCTAAAGTATATTTTTCTTAGAGAACATCTACATGCAGGAATTATCAGTCTTGTGTAATAATGACCAAAGAGAAAGCTGGAAACATTCATTTCCTTTGAAAAGTAAAATTATCTCCTTCAGTGGTATAAAAGATGAGCAAACTGCCCAATTGTTTCCTCCTGATAGTGCTGTGAAGGGACAAGGCATCAGATGCTTTCAATTCACATAAATGTTTATTATTTAATGGAAGCTTTGTGGTGGCTTCCTCTTCACCCCCAATATTCAGGTCACACTGTGACATTCTTCTGTACACAAATAGCCACCAGTATCCAAATGAACTGTTTGCTAAGACCAAGGAAGGGCCTAGATTAGCTGCTAGATGGTACTTCAGAACAGACCTAAAGGTAATTAAAAGCGGACTAATGTTACTAGCCAATCAACTTTTGTCCTAAATTCATTTTAAATTCATTTATTTATGTATATACTTTATATTACAATTCACTCAGGAAATCTATGTGGCTTATGTAGTGTTCTTATTTCTCCTCTTCCCCCCCAAAGCCCACCCTGTAAGGTGGGTTGGGACAAAATGATAAAGTTGCCCACTAATCCTCCATAACATTGTCAGGGTTTGCCCATCACATTAAGCATATTTGATCATTTACACGTCTTTAAGGCTAAACTCACAAATACGCTAAACCCAAACCACAAAATTACTTCTTGTGGTTGGCGTCCTGGTTTGTAATTACCACTAAGCCTTTGGTCGCCAATGGTACAATGCAAGAAAAAAAAAAACAAGCTCCATGAACTGGCTGCCTATCATGTTTTCTAACAGAGGAGTGAGGACAGGCACTTCTGATGGTAAAGCTAAGGATGTAATCCCTACTGGTAAGATCTGGGGGATTTGCAAACCCTGAGGGTCTGAGTTGTAATTTCACTTGCCCAAAACTCATGCAAAATCCAAATCAAACTGCATTATGTTTGGTGGGATGTCTGAATCCTGACTAGTCATTATTTGTTTACCCATTAGGGATGAGCAAACTATTTTGATTTTCACATCCTCTGACCTTCGAATGCTGAATGCTCTGAGCATTGAATGATCAGAGCACGGCATAAAACATGCCTGTTTTCAAAGTTGTATTCTAAGTATGAAACAAAGCTTGACTGTTTGGTGGGGAGTGATTCTGACAATTCTGGCCACTCATTTTGTAACTTGCAGTCAGACAAATTTTCTTTCCAAACAGCTGTCATCCTAGCCTTCCAGCAGAAAACCCAGCCATATCTTGACTGTGGTCGGTTTAGACTGGGAAGACTAAAAGGAGGCTGGGTTTCAAAAGGAGCATAAGAGTTAATCTCAAAGCCAGACAGAAGAAAAATTTCTTCAGAAACTAGAATTCCCTGAGGTGGATGGATCACAAGTACATTGTGCTGCATTTTATTTTGCCAGCAGGTCATACAAAGAGATATAGGTATGTACATTGGTGTTGTTAGTACTGCTAAGGTTGCATAAATATAAAGGCAAATAGTACAATGTAAGCTTAGTAATCTTTGGTAAAGATGTATATTGGGCATGCACTTGTGTCTTGTTGTAACTTTGATGTTCATAATGAAAAGAAGCATTCCATAAACTAATATTTTTTTTAAGCCAGTTGTTTTGTTTTTTGGCTTTTTTTACTGCTATTTTCTTGAAAAGATTGTAGAACTGGTTTGCCATTTTCTGCTTCTTGGGGCTGAGAGAGAGGCACTAGCCCAAGGTCAGCCAGCTGACTTGTGCCTAAGGCAGGACTAGAACTCATGCTTCTAGCCTGGTGCTTAACCACTAGGCCAAACTGGCTCTCAATTTTATGCTAGCAGCAACCGTACATGCCAGCCAACATATCATGAAATAATAACATTGCTATTGCTTGAATTCTGCCTAGCAGACAGATTGCAAAACCAACAAACAAAAGCAGTGCCAAAATCTTATTGACTAATAATATGCTTTTTAAAAAGTATAAAAACTTCAAGAATGCTTCATTGGGGGAATAGGATAACACAAACAATTTTAAAAAGTTTAATTGTTCTGTTGCTGGAAGTACCCAGATAAATTGAAGAAGCCTCTGTTCTCTTGTTAAATAAAATACAGTAAATATTTTTTTCATTTGGTGAGAGCAGAGAATATTTTATTCTCTATGATGTTTATTTTAATGTTTTTAAAATTATATACTTGACTACATTTTCTGCAGTTTGGATAGAAGTAACACAAAGAGCATGGAGTAACACTGCCAATGGTAATTTCTCTTATAGTCCTAGAATGAAAAACAAGGCAGCCTCTGTTGGGCTTGATTGCTCACTGTTTCCTATTGATGGAGCACTCAAAACATTGTACTTCTTCCCTTTTCCCCTGAAAAGAGCAAAGTGAATTTAAAACATACTTCTAAAATACATATTCTTTATTTGGATTGCTTTTTAATTAATAACATGAAACTGCTTTAACAAAAAGTAAAAGAAATACACAAAGAGAAATAGTATGTTACTTACATAATTCAAATATTATTCAAGTACATATATACAGTATTTCTAACACATTTATGCAACTATCTTTTTTTAACCTACTGTACTTTGTATAAATGAGTCCCATATTTCATTATACTTAGCCATACGAAGTCTATGTATCTACACGCAATCCACCATAGATGGCAAGTACAATCAGGTCTTCAATCCATTGAGTGAAAGGGGACATACATGTATCTTTTCAATATCAGTCTTTTGGCCATAGTAAAGGCACAGAGAATGTTTAGGTTGTCTGGTTCTCAAATTCCGTATACTAAGTATATAGTTCAAGAAAATATTATCTTCTGAAAATTTTAGTTTTTCTCACACAATCATATTTATATAATCCACTACTTTCTCCAGAAACTTAGCACAGGACACTGTAAAAACATATCTTTTAAAGAAGCACTATCCTTATTATATCTCCAATAATATGCTACTTTGGACAGTCCATTTCTATACAAACATAGAGTCCCATAAATTCTAAATATTATTTTTTGTTGTGTAAGTTATAATCTTATAGCGAGGTCCACTGACATTCTTACTATAGAACTTAAGGCACTCTCTTATTGTCTAGGCAATATAGGAACATCTAAATCTTAATTCCACTCATTTCTTATCATCTGCATATCAAATTGATTTATGATAACAAATATCTATAAAAACTAACAGTATAGGGGCTTTTTTAGTTTTAAAGGATTTAACACATTCTTACGTTATCTCAGAAGCTGAAAATGCTGCTGGTCCAAACAATGTTAATAAATGTTGCAGCTGTAAATATTGCCATTGAGTTAGGTATGATATATGGTATTTTTCTCTTAAGACAGAGAATGCTAAAAATTCATTTTTATTATCTATCAGTTGATCCAATGTCAATAACACTTTCTTCCATCCAATTTTTCCATATCATTATATTTTTCTGATTTGTAAAGTTGGGTTTCCCCATAAAGTCAATTTACCATGTGACCCCCCCTTTTTTTCCTTTTCCCATGTATTCCCTTTTTCCCAATAAATTTATTAGACATTACATTCCATAACTTTGTAACTGACATAATTGTTTCTAGAGAATTTTAGTATATGTAGATCCTAATACTGTCCATCCAAACAAAGGTTTTATACTGTATGTATATTCCAAAGTTACACAAATCAGAAAATTAACACCAATTGTTGATTTCCAGTCTAAAATTTAAAAAAAAACATTTAGTATAATATTACAGATGGGATTGTTTTAATCTGGATTTAAAGCAAAAAAAAATATGTTGTGTATGATCCATTGTTGACACAATATATTAAGCTAGAAATCGTTGTTTACAAACCACAATGACTGAGTTTATACAATGAATGCTAAGTCAAAGTCAAAGCAACCAGCATGGTTCAGCGTTGTCATAAGGCAGCCCTTTGTTTCACATTTCTCTTTGAGAAATGAAGACATCTTAACAGAAAGAACTGGTTCCCATCAACTTCATTTCAGGCAGAGTCAATCAAACCTTTTGTTTCATAAACAGGTCTGGTGTCAGTCAGCCACTGTTCTCTCTTGTAAAGGAAAGGTGGATGATACACAAAAGAGAGTGACCTGTGAAAGTGTGGGGCATCTTTGCTGTTGTCCGATGTCCTTGCATGAAGACTGGGCCACACATTGCAATGGGATTAAATGATTATTTAATTATTGCACCAATAATTTGAACTTCTTTTATATTTAAATTCTCTACAACTGTTTTGTTTATGGAGCCAGAATTGATGAGGAAAGTCAAGAAAGACCATCTGTATTTGCCAGTCTGGGGCATTTTTAAAAATTATTATTAAAACCTGATGGGTAGATCAGGAAAAGGCTTGCTATTACTCCAAAATGTGTCCAAGGTGGCTTTCAGCTGGTCCCAATCAGGTCGCTGCACAAGCTTTGCCTAGTGGCTCCCTTTGAAACATGTCAGTGAGATTACCAATGCAAAAAGAGAACAACTGAATCATATTTGGAGGGGAAGGGCAAGCTTGCAAGCAAGGTGGTTATTTCTGAGATGTAATAAAACTAGCTGCAGATGAATCTTCTTGGGAAAATGTGTAGATCATGGCTTTGCTTATTTCCTATTAGGAGAAAAATCAGCTTATAGGTGGAGAAATGGGTGAAAAAACAAGTCATCCTTCCCTAAGTTTTACTGACTGAAATCCAACCATGTGAATTGAGAAATATTTTCTTCCAAGTAAATCTTAGGGGAAAAATCCATCTATATAGCAGGCTGACTTTCAGGTGACTAAATTTTCAGAGGCAGCATAATTTTTGTGACATTGAAAAACAAAATGTCTTCTCCTTGGGTATTGCTGATGATGTAATGGCAGGTCTAAATATCAAGCAGGTCAAATAGCTACCTGAGGGCTCCAAGGGATTAACTGGATCTTTTCTGCTTGATTTACACATCACATTAAGTCAATACTCTTAGGCATGCACAATACCTATAACCCCAACCAGAGTTTCTGCTAGCATATAGTTCAAAAGAGTTTCTATAATCATAGTTTAAAAAACCCCAGAAAATTACTTATAGTATTGTGGTATTAGCCAATCAAGGTGTATTCAATAAATTAACTAATATATAGTTAATGAGATTTTGAATTGGGTCCTAAACTAACAGCACAATCTATATACTTGCCAAGAAGTAAATCTTACTAAACTACTGGGATGTACTCACTCTTAAGTTTAAGGGTATACAATACAAAAATTGCCAACAACTTTTTCTTGTTTTGTAAAAGAGCAATAGAAAAAAGAGATAACTATCTGTGAAACAGCAAAAAGAAACATTACAATGATCTGCCTCCATTACCCCCAGGACATCTTGCTGACTTAATATGAAGGAATACCTCCTGGCTTCAGAAGAGCTGATTTTGGGCTAAGGCAGGGCCTTCCCAGGGTTAACTTGGGCATGGAAATGACATTGATAGCGCATTCCTATTCTCAGTTTCACAGAAACTCATGACTTTGGGACATAGACATATTGCTGTTTGACCCACCAAGGCCAGTATATTTGCTCAAAATGTATCCACTTTCCAGGTTCTGGGAATTGAGACCTCACTGTTGAATCTGCAGCCAGCAGGAGCAAATTACAACTTGGTTTTATTTTCCATTTATTCATTTGGGTCTCTTGAAACAAAGCTGATTACTCCAGCAAATGTAATGGCACAGAGCAGGTAGCTACTTCTGTACAATTTCTGGTTGGGAGTTATGGAAACTATATTCCTTCAATTAAAAATTTGCAAGACTTTATTTCTTCTGATATATAAATATTTTTTCTCAAGAAAACCTCTCCAGAAATAGGAGTCCTTTAAAAGTGGAGCTCAGTTCAGCTGGAGTCTAGGGTTAGTGGCTGTTTTTAACAACACTTACCCATGGTTAACTGAATTAAACTTAATTCTTTGGATATATGGTTAACTTGATTAAACTTAATTTTTTGGATATATATGAGTCACTAGACTATCACCTATCACACAAGGACTGGGTTAAAAATCCAGAAGAGTGTGGTAGCACCATTTCAGACTAAAACATTTTATTCAAAAGTATAAGTTTTTGTGAGCAAAATCAATAAAATGTGTTAGTCTGAAAAAGGGCTACCACCCTCTGATTTTCAGTTACCACAGAGTGACATGGCTTTCCTCTTACAACATACACTGGGTTGGTATAACAGGAGAGGCTAAAATATGATTGGTTAGTTTGTGATTCTATGCACCTTGAAAACATTAGTAATCTTTAGCCCAAGAACTTCTGGGATTCCTGAGCAGAATGCCCTCCTGGCACAACTGAGGAGTTAGGGGTAGTCAGCCTTGGCTCTTTTATGACTCGTGGACTTCAACTCTCAGGAATTCTGGGAATTGAAGTCCATGAGTTATAAAAGAGCCAAGGTTGACTACCCCTGATAGAGCTATGATGCTTATTTCTAGCAGTGTTTATTTCTAGGAGGATGTACAGCAACTGAGTTGATTGGAATTTAACTCTGCAGTGTCAGATATCTCTACACAGAAATCCCATTGAATTTAGCAGGGATTATGCTCAGTGAACATACTGTATCTTAATACCAGCAAATGTCAAAACACTCCAGAAATACCTTGATGATGCTCCACAGTGTTGTTGAGGCATGTTGGATACTATCCATCCACTTAATATCACTTTAATTGTTCTTTGGTCTTTAAGCAGTGACTTTCACTGATTTCCATTGTGAATATATCTTCTACCTAATCTGGAAATCTGCAGCCCATTAGCAAACCTGAAACTAAATATATCCATGGAAAAAGAGAAGTCATCACATTCCTTCAAGGCAGTATATTTGTAAAATTCTGATGCACTGAACAAGTGACTACTTCAGTTCTGACTAAGTCCAAACACATTACACTATGGCTTGACAGAACATTTTACCTCAGCTTTAAATTCTCAGGTCCCAGTTCAGTTGGACTCTAACCTTGTAAGGATGAGCTAAAAAGCTGCCTAGGAGTGTTCAAACTTTCAAGTGTTTATCTCCCCACTCCCAGCTCTTTGCAGGTAAAATGGTACAAACAGCAGATGAAGCAGCAGCTGGAAAATGATGGCAGCAAAAATTCTATGCCCATGATGATGGAGAAAGGTCTATGTGATTGTGGCTTGCTTGCACATAATTGAGCAATCAACCAAAGAGGGTTGGAAGAAGACATCTTGTTATTTTGGTAGTCTGCCCACATATCCCCTTTCTTCTCCTTTCCAAAAAAGAGGGCTGTAATTCAGTAGCCATGGTCTGACCTTCCTAGTCTATATCATGATACAATTGCCTTTCTCCCACCCAGGGATACACTTAAAAAAAGTTGAGATTGTGGCCACAACCAATGCATATGAAAATAGGTGGATCTTTAAGCACACAGCTGTGGACATTATCTTGATTTTTTTCAGACCATACCTAGGGACAGCCCTATTCCATTTGAGAGGAAAAATTGCCCTCATGTCTACCCATGCACAAAGCCTACTTCACACAAAACTAGAGGTCCACAGAAAGTTGATTTGCGGTTCACTGGCTGCATTCACACAACTGGGATAATTAGATCAATTAGACATCCAGGTGCTACATCATCAGAGCAAGGTAAAGTTGATAGATAGCAGTCTTGGCTAGTCTTTGTAGCTTTGTCGGTGTCCTTACAGTTTATTGCATAGTGCCAAGCAATTAACTTAATTCTGTTAACCAATCTGTAGTGTGAACGTTCATCCAGTGTTTTTTCCACCCCCATTTTTAGATCTAATTTCCCTCATGAAAATTATACCTTCCTTTCTGATATCTGTCCTGGTAAATAGTAGCAGATATGGTGATCTGAGAACGAAGGTACATTCCTCTTTCTCCCCCGCTAACCACGATCATCTTCCTTGCCCCATCCCGCTCTTGCCTGCTCTTGGTCACCAAAAGAAACGCGTTTAAGCGGAGAATGGCTCTCTCTCTCTCAGTCTCCTGTTCCACGCCGCAGCCTGCGAAGGAAGAGCCTTGCGCTCGGCGTTGGCTTTAGCAGCTCCTTGGCCCCGAAAACGCTTGTAAGAAACAGCCTTATTCGCGGAGCAGCAGAGGTAAAGCCTCGGGCTATAATCTTGGTGCGCGCGGGCTCGCGGCTGTCGAGGTTTGCCCTTCTCACTCGGCAGTGCTCAGGTGGCGCGGGACATATAGTATTACATTGCGATCAAATTAGAAGTGACAGCTCCGCCCTACAGATCCCTCTAAGGCTGGACCTTGGAGACGAGGGCTGCTGGCCGCAGATCACTCGAGCCGGCCCTCGTAGGGGCCAATGGAGCATGAGGGTGCATCTGAAGGGGATTAAAAGAAAGCACAACTAATGCGGAGCATTGGAAAGGGCTGCGCTTTTGTTTTGTTTTCAGTCATCCGGGCTGGCTAATGATTCCCACCTTTGGAGGCAGTTTCACATGCCGATCCCCTCGATCCTCCTTCTCCTCCATCTCAGCCCCCGAAGGATAAAAGATCCTTGTTTAGGACTGGAACCTTATAGAATCCTAAATCTGCTCTTCTGCGCGAAATAGAAATAAATCCCTTGAATTCATATAGACTCTTGCCTAAGACAAAGCTTTTGAATCCAGAATCAAATTGGTTTCGGCAGAAAATGACTGATTAGCCCTGCTGCATATTACTACTCCTTTCAGTCTCTTATGCAGGTGAATCCTACCCATTTTAATTCAGGAGGAAGTCCAGTTGAATTCAGTAAGGCCTATTCTGAAGTAAGTGTTCCTGGGGTTGAAGCTTTAAAGAACAAAAGTCCTATGTAGTTCTCTGGAAGTAAAACCTGTTTTTTTCTCCTTTTGTTCAGTTGTGTCAGATTTTCAGAGACTGCCTGGACAAGACCCTGCAGTTTTCTTGGCAAGGTTTTTTAAATGTGGTTTGCCATTGACTCCTTCCTTGGGCAAAAAGACTGGCCCAAGCTCACCAAGCTGGCTTTGCACCTAAGATGGGACTAATGGTCTCTGGGTTTCTAGCCTGATGCCTTAATCACTACACCAAACTAGCTCTCTTTAAAAAAAAAAAAAAAAAAGCATGTTTATTATCTGCCAATTAAACTAAAGCAAATTTGGTTTCCAATGTCCACTTAATAGTAGAACTGTTGTTATAGTTGCTGTTGTTATTGATTTTTCACAAATAGGCTTGTGCCATTAAGTTCTCTCTAAGTTTAAAATTTCTAATTTTAAAATTTTGGTCTTCACCTTGGTCAAGTTGGAAGCACTACTTGTGTGAGTAGTAGAAAAGCAAGCAGTCCTGTGGGGATGGTAAAAAAATGTTCATTTTCAGCATCATTTGTGTCTGTATTAAGATGGTTGTGTGAAATCCTAAGTAACAAGCTCCTTTGTTGTTCTCTTTATAGCAATGTGCATTAAACTTAGCAACTTTAAAATGTGTGGGTTTCAACTCCCAGAATTCTCCCAGTCACCTCTTCTGAGCAGGAATCTGATACTGTGTCACCATTTGTTCTATGTTCTACAACAAGTGAAAATTAGTACCAATTTTAGGGATTGCCAATTGTTATCTGTATTGTTATATTTATTTGTGTAATTGTATTACTACTGAGTTTTGTAAATTATAGATTTATGTATTTTTGTTATAGTATTCTCTGATCTAAGGGCTGTAATAATAAAAGTTTTAATCAAATGTTATATATTATCATAATTCAGTAAGTTGAATGGTATCCTATTTTATGTTAATACATTTCACCATTAAAGTTCCTGAATTCAGTTCCCCAAATGGATCTTTACAAGCTTATGAACATTAATAATACTCCTTGAAATATACTCTGAAAGTGATGGTGTGGGAGATCAGAAAATTGGCAGAAGAATGTTAGTATGATTAATTTGAAATCTTGGAATTAATATGAATATATATTAATATGTAATTTTTGTCATTGGTAGCCCAACCAATCTAAAAAAACTAGTAGAGATGAATGAAGCCCCCTTTGACTATGAATCAGTTTCTTTTTCCCATTCCTGTCTTGCTTCTGTCATCTTTGCTACCTTTAAATTCATTTTTTGTTTGTTACTGCATTTTAAAAAATACCTTTTTAACCTGTAGTCACCCAGTATCATTGGGATTTGGGTGACATACAAATTAACTAAATGAAAAAGAAAAACAATTTGAGCTCAGGAGCATGCAATCTGCCTCTAATCAGATCTCAATGAAAGTTTATGCTTAAGTTAACTTGTTTACCTTAAAGGTGGCACAATATTTTGATGATCTGATCTAAGAAAAAAGTATCAACAGTCTTCCATTATAATTCTTTTAAATGGCACATTGATAGTACAACTTAAAAACAAATTTCACTAATCATGCAACACCATCATTTTCTAAGTGTAAATATTCTGCTGTTTAGTTAAAAATAACTAATCAAGAAATGGCTGCAATTGGATATCTCTTTCTCAGAAAAAGCCAATGTAAACTTTTGCTTGATTTGATCAGGCTATAAATATTACAAAATAAATATTCTAATAGAATACCAGAGTGCCGTTTTGGTGTAGTAGTTAAGGCATTGGGTTGGAAACCAGGAGATTGTGAGTTTTAGTCCTGCTTTCCAGCTGTGTGATCTTGAGCCAGTGACTTTCTTTCAGCCCTAGAAATCACACAACAGCAAACCTCTTCTGAAATCTTGCCAAGAAAACTGCAGGGACTTGTCCACGGAGTCACCAGGAGCCAATACTCACTTGAAGGCACTAATAATTAGCTGCCTAAAATATCAGAAATGTTTTGGCCAATATAATGCAAAATCCAGCTCCAGAATTTCCTTTTTGTTAAAGGAAATAGTTTATTGCAACCTTCTTCTACTTGATGTCCTTCAGGTGTCTTGGGTTTCTAATCTCATAATTTTTTTAGGCAGCAAAGAATTGTGAAATTTGCAGTTCAACACATCTGGTTATGGGGGGAAAACAGGCTTACTACCTAAATATGATATACGACTAAGAAAGAAACTGCAACATACTGAATTCTTTGTGATTCTCTAAACATTTATGAGTAGGCCAGATTGTTAATATCTGACCAAAGTTATCACACCTATTCAGTGGTGGGATTCAAATATGTGAACAACTGGTTCTCTGTGTGGATGTTTCTGGAAGTCCATTCTGGGCCTGGGCAACAAAAAATTAGCTACCGGTTCTGCCAAAGTGGTGCGAACTGATTGAATTCCACCACGGCACCTATTCATTCAGTTGAAACCAGTGCTTTTTTTTTCTAAAAAAAAAAAAAAAAGATGCCGGAACTCACACACATCATACAACCCGCCTTGCCTACCCTACAAGGTTCCATACAAAAAAGGTGCCGGAACTCCGTTCTGGGCGTTCTATGAGAAAAAAAGCCCTGGTTGAAACCATGCCTTTTGTATTGAAACACGCATTACCAAATACTTTATTTTATGTATACTAAATTTAGGTAACTACTCTATAATAAGGATCACAGACATGGTTAGAATTCTCACAGTACAGAATATATTTTGCCAACTGGTTCTCTCCAGATGGATTGCAATTGTAATTTTTCAATAGCATGGCACCAGGTTAGACAGATTACACTCAAACAATATAAATGCATTTAAATGCCAAATTTGAAAAATATCTCATCTTTTCTGAAATCCACAGAATTGGGGAGGAGGCTAATTACAGTTTCTAAGGACCTACAATCCAAACTTTTGGAGTGCTTATTTCATTTCATCCAACAAAAACATCTTCATAAAGAGGACAGCATCTACACATAGAGATAGAAACTAGGACCTAACTTTAAAG